TGCTCTGAGAGAAAGATAACAAATTAAAAAAAAAAAAAAAAAAAAAAACCCTGGAATAGGAAAGACTTCCATTTTTTTGTTTAATGTAAGTTTGTTGCTATACACGTTCAAATTTAAAGATGTATAAATACATACGCATACAGTATATATAGTATTATTTATTTATTTTTACAAATTAATACTTTTCTTGAACAAAGGCGCATTTAATCAATCAAAAATGACAGAAATATTTTGTAAATGTCTAATTGAAATAAATAATATTCATCAAATAATCCTGAAAAACAAATGGTTTACAGTTTAATATGTATCCCATGTATATCATGGGGGTATATATATATATATGTATATGTGTATATATATGTGTGTATATATATGTGTATATATATGTGTGTATATATATATCCATTATATATATATATATATATATATATATATACACAGTATGAAATAACATACATTTTTTATTTATTTATTTATTTGCCACCACCTGTGCTAGAGTGCTAAAGAAAATAAATATATGATTAATGCTATGATGAAGACAACCATGGACATCATTAGGAGCACATTTATGTGTCCTAATGATAGGTTGTCAATCTTGATATCTTTAAATATCTCACTAATGAACTTTTAATCATATTTTTGTTTGATAAATCTGATAAAAATGCCTTATGCATCAATACTCACACTGTCCACCAGCTTTGTGAATGGGCTGGTTGAGTTCCAGCTGCACCATTTCTTATGGAGTTGAGGAAGAGTTGGAAGGAGATCCTGGAAGGTTCGGACGCTCCATGCTCGTGGTCGTGCGCTGTGTGTCGATCCGGCATGGCTGCTCTTTGTCACAGAAGGCAGCGCTTGGTCTGGAGTCGGCCAGTCAAAGGGGCGGCTGGGTCCCGTGTCACTGTGTCTCAGAAAACGGTCTCTTTGCTATAAAAGACAGAACAACTTTAGAAGAAAAAAAAATCCCTTGTGGTGGAATGAATACTTGATATGGCAGCAACTACTAATTCCTTAGATTAACTGCTTGTAAGGCACTCTGGATAAAAGTGTGTACTAAATGGAAAAATGTACAAGTGATTCACTTGGAAATATTATGCATTTTTATTGTTTACTTGTATAACAGTATTTTTACTTTACTACATTAAATAATGTTTATTCTTAATTTGTAATATATTATATGTTTGGGTCTATAAGATTTTTTTAAAAATAAATTATAATTTTTAGCATGGATGCATTAAATTGATGAAACATGACAGTAAAGACAAAAGATTCCATTTCAAATAAATGCTGTTAATAGCTGCTGAAAATTCAGCTTTGCCAACACATTAATAAATTACTAAAACATAATTAATAAAATAGAAAGCTTAAGTTGTAATAACATTTCACAATATTACTCTATCTATACTCCATTTACTCTAATGCAATTGTTGTTAATCCCATGTATCTTTTATTAAAATAATTTGAGCTTCATAAATGGCCAATAATGACTCAAAGTTGCTTGAGATTCAATTTTATAATGAATAAACTTGCATCAGTGTAAATAAACTAATAAATGTGAGAATTTGGCTTGGATTTCAAGCTTTCAGTGTAGTATATGAACCTGCTGAGATCAGGGAAGCTACATCCAGAGAGACCAGCTGTTGCTTTAGGAGTTGCTTTAGTAAGATCTCTTGAGCGGTTTCAGGCAGGGCGGCAGAGACTGATATCTAAATGAGGTCTGCGACAAGCAAAGGCCTCCAAATGTGTCAGTCAACTGTTAATTGGACGTGCAGCATGTGGGTAAGTATCAGAAGGGCTTTTCACATCAGTAGGAGTCTGACAGTCGTCACACGTGATCTCCAACAGCTCCCCATGTCTAGACGAGTATTATGCCGGATTTAATCTTGAGCTGTTCTGGCATGGTTTTGTATTTTTAACCAAAACAATACCAAATTGTCTGGTTGTGAGTGAAGGCAAAAACAAAAAGGGATAAAGAATCTACAGCACAAAACAGCTGTAGCCGGACACCAGCGATGCAGGTTTCTGATTCTTCTCAAACCTCCTTGGATGAACACACAGCTTGGCAAATTTTTCATGCCACCTTTCAGAGCCAAAGCAGCATGGACCACACACACACACACACTTATGCAGAAACACAGAGCTGGAGCTGGGAAATTGGCTACAGGCGGATAGCATTCATTAGTCAGAGCTATTAGCGGGCCAGCTCGCCCTTCGGCTGCCAGAGTCTCTGCGTCCCAGCAGCCTCTAGTGAAGAGCTACTTGTCTGCCCCTCATCCAGAACATCACCACACACCATGAAGTTTGGCCTCCATCAGCGTACTACACTGCACCAGCTATTCAAGCTGAAAACAATTCAGTGTCATGAAGAACACTTGAAACTACCAAGCAAAAGTAAACAGAGTATCTCTTATAGTACTAAGATCAATAAACCATATTTATATAAATAATATATAAAGATTAGTGAAATGTTCTGCTTGAAAAATGTGCTTGTTATTTTTAATTTTTTTAATTCAAATAAAAGCTACTGGGTTTAATATTTTGTGGCTTAATCTGAAAAAATATATACAATTCAAAAGTTAGATTTTGTCTTGTTAAGAAATGTTATTTTTAAGATCCACATTAGCATACTCGATTTCTGAAGGATCATGTGACACCGAAGATTGGAGTAATGACTTTGGGAATTTTTTTAAATTGTTATAATATTTCACAATATTATTGTTTTTACTGTACTTTAAACAAATAAATTCAGCCAAAAGAAATAAGAAAGCATACAATACTTCAAAAACAGTTTAAAAAAATCTTGCCAACCCCAAACTTTTGAATGGTAGTGTACAAAACATATCAAAGTTTCTCATCTATCTCTGGATGTAGCAATGTACAGAAGAATCAGATACTCACAGTATGTGGAGAGAAAGGCAGTTGGGCTGAGTTGGGTGCAGAAGCGATGACAAAAACCTCATCTGTGCCTAATTCTAATTCAGTCAAACCACTGGAGAACTGCTCTAGAGCGGCCTTCTCTGACACGTCACATACTCCATTCACTGAAGACCCTTCAGAGCACAACACAGTGAACATATGGAATATTTATAAAACAAATTTAAATACTTCAGTTTAACATGCATATACAAAGCTGAATAACTTAATAATTTGTCATGGTGTCAAATAAACGGGTCAGTGCCCCGGTGCTTGTTTAAAGGTTAAATGGAAACATTAAAGTTCTCTAGCTGGTATGATTGGACTAAGCTAAAATGATGGGGAATTTCAGATTTACAACTTAGTATAAACTAAAGCCAATGTCCCTCTTAAGTACCCCTTACTGCATTATGGTCTTGACTTCTCATTATGATAAAGTGATTTGTGTTTGGGAAATATACAGTATATAGCCAAGCCTAAAAAATAAATAAAAAATCAGTTTCCTTTTCCACCATTTCATTTGAAAAGGTTACTGCTGAACTTTTACAAAATCATATTTTCCCACCACAAGTCACATCAATCATCAACAAACTCGTTTAAAGGCTGGATCCACATATTTAGGACTGGGAGTAATAGGTATTTATCATTACTACTAATGATACTGCAATGAAAAAAAATCACATTATTATTGTTGTTATTATTTCACCACATATAAATTTGCATTAAAAATGAAAAGGTCAAAATGCACCTTCTGTTGTTTCAGTACAGACATATAAAACAATTTTAAAAAACAATTAAAACATTATATAAAACATTATATTGCCTCATGTCTGTTTTTAAATGTGTTTAAACACATTGTTTTCATTCAAACAGGTTTCCTTTAAGATCAAAAAACTTTATCAAATATAACATTTTATAATTACTTCCATGTGCTTTGAATACAGGAGGACATTCATTTTTCAGCAAGCTACACCCTAATAGAGCTCTGGTGGTCTTATTATACTGTTCCTGAATTACAGTAATGTAGCCTTTTTTCTGTTCCTTGAAGAGACTAATTAATCTCAATGTATAGGTTCAGAAAGGGGAAAAATGAACTCTGCAGCTTTACCAAAAGGAACCAAGTGACCCCTAAGTTCCCTTCATCTGACAACATCAATGAAGAAAACAATAAATCTGGGGGGGAGAGAAGGGGAGGGAGAGAGAGAGAGAGAAAGAGAGAAAGCAAGGTAGACTCATGGATTGAAGGAGTGATGTGGAAGGGAAAAGAGAATAAGGCAGAGGGACAGATAAAGAGACACTAAGCACCTGTATGGGACAGACTGCGGTTGAGGGAATGGTTGTTGTTGTCGTTCACTGTACTCGACTGCTGCTCCAAGTGATTAGGAGAAATCATCTGAAGTTCACTCACATCTGCCGCTGAATTTAGCACTCCTTCTGGAACCTACAACAGAGTACCTCACATTATTTCTACATGAACAGACAGGGTCCAAAATAATCGCTTGCCAAAGCACCAAATGACAGCACAAACTGGATTTGGCAGGTGAATTCTCACCACCAAAATAAAAGACAAAATCACTATGTGCATTCACATTTTTGTGTGTGAGAGATCAAGTCTGCTTATCTATATACACACATATTTAAATATTTAATATGCAAGGAGTAATTTTTTTAATTTAAATAAAGCATAAAATAATTTATACATAATATTTTGTATACAAAATACATGTTAATTATTTTAGTTTCATGCCCAGTATGAATCATTTATGGATGGAACATTTCATCAATTCACTCAACATTGCCAAGTGTGGGGGAAAAAATGTCATTTTGGACCCTGGATGCAGTACAAACTCTTCCTCATCTTTCATAAAGGTGGGGTCCTCTCTGAATTCAATGTCCCATCTGAAAGAAGAACATATGTCTATGTTGACTGTTTACCTCTGAGCTGATGGAAGAGGAAGCATTGGCACCTTTTGCGCATAGTTTTGGCCTGGGAAAACAACAGAACACAGGTAACATCATCTTGTTTGCTTTTAATTACTGTTATTGGTCATCAAATGTTCCATTAAATAACTGCTTACTTCTCCTAGCTTAATGACATTGAAATATCTGCTATAAAATCTGGTAGGACACACACATTCAAAGAACCAAACTCATTTCCGATTTGCTTAGCATACACCAGTATAATTTTGTATGAGTGTGTTGAAGGGTGAACTGGATATTTCATCTGCCTGATACATGCTGTAAAATTGAATGTAATAGCATGACCTCTAAAGTTAAGGTCATGTCATGAGTAAAGGAAACTTCATTTGAAAATGTGCCTTTAGTCTCTCAACATATTAAAATATCACAATACACATATATTAATGGAACATATATTAAAGGGGTCATATGATGTTGCTAAAAAGAACATTATTTTGTGTATTTGGTGTAATGAAATGTGTTTATGCGGTTTAAGGTTAAAAAAACATTATTTTCCACATACTGTACATTATTGTTTCTCCTCTATGCCCCGCCTTTCTGAAACGCGTC